TCAAAAGTTCATTCTTTTAAAAGAATACAATTGGATAATGTGCATTCGGTTTTCAAATTCATTAAATATTTTCTTATATGCGTTTACTGAGCTTGTAAATATATTTTTCTTTATTTTGCTTTAAACTAACATAAAAGGAATTTTACTTAGTTCAGAACAAGTATGTTGTATTGTGCCTACAATTTTAGTTTGGTATCGTTAAGCACCAAAAGGTATTATGTTACGCGCGCATGTTTTTATATTTCTGTTTCCCGATGAATCTCGACTAAACCATTAATGTGCTATTTCTCATTTAATTTGAATAGTCGAACCGTAATTCCTTCTGTCGTAAGGATGAAAAATATTTCCCTTTTAAACATAATTTTGTTTATCAACCATCTAGTTATGCGTTGCATCACAACACTCTCTACTACATGACTATTTCATAAAAAAAATTTATGTATATTTTGCTACAATTAAATTTTAAAAAGAATTTTTAATTTACACTTGTTTTTTTCCTCTTTTTATCATTTATTTCATTATTTTTTTTTTAATTTTGTTTTTTTTTTTATATAAAATACTTTACATATCAAAGTGTGAACCAAAAAGGCTAAAAGTGATGTTATGTTGGAATGTTGTATTTTTGAACTAATGCCAAATTCTTAAAACATTCATTACACATTATAAAATGTGTATGTATGTACAATAAAATAAGACCTATAAAAAAATTTACAAGTTGACAAACAAAATAACAAAATAAAATTGAAAAATTTGATCTTAGGAATTTTTACAGTTCGAAAAACAATTGGAACAAAAAAGAAGTATTTTCAATTTTTGTCTCCAATATTATATTTTCTTTCTCTTTCTATTTTTAATATAATACATATATTGTTAAAGTTATTGTACTTTGATATTCTTTAAATTTTATTAGAATTATAGAAAATTGAAATAGAACAAATTGTATTTATGTGTGAAATTAGTATGTGTGTTTGTTTGTACGTACATTTAATATCGAATGTATAGAGTAGAGAATAACATTGTAATAATGTTGAGTCACAAATTTGGATAATGTGATAAAAAATAATAAAAAGAAATTATATTTAAAATGAAATGAAATTTTTTTTAAAATTTGTGAAATTCATTTTCAGTGTGTTAAAGTATTGCTTTTCCTAAAAAAAACAATACGAATTTGTAACCACAAATTGTAATAATTGCCACAAATTGTACAAATTGTAATAAAAGCTGCTTTAGAATCTTGAAATTTCTTTCGCTCTATATTTAAGAGTAACCTTTGAAAGAAAATTATATACAAAATGGCCTGTATACTGTGTACTGTGGTCCGGGTCCATTCAAGTTAGATTCATTGTCAAAAGATTCATTATCAATTCCGCAATGCTGTGACTTTAATGGAATATGAAATTAAAATCAAGCATCGGTTCGAATCTCCATATTTAAGTAGATTATGTGGAATTTTCACAGTTTTGGAAGATTTTCCTTTATTGATGCAACAATTTCACACTAAAGTGCTATTAAAAATTGCAAAATTGAAAATTCTTTAGAAATGTTCAAGATTTCAAAAATAGAAGAAAGCTCACTAAACACCATAAAAAAAACTATTATCATTATTTTTTGCTTGCTATTTTAGTAGAGTATGATTTCGTGCATTATCCTGACATAAATTACCTTATATCCGGATCAATTTTCTAGACTTTTAAAAAGTTTTCAAAATATATATTAATAATTTTAAAACATAAAATTTATAAATCTTAAATTTGAATTTCCTCGTTCAAAATGATAAAGAAAAGTAAAATAAAAAAGGATTATTCACTTCCTCTCACAAAAGATTTCCGCATGAAAATTTTTTACGATAAAAAACAAAATCAACTTTTGTTAAAATTAAAATTTGTAGGTAAAAGTTATCTTACGTTGTCAAATTATTTTATTTCCTATTTTTTTATCTATTTTTATTCGTAACGTACTTCTCTTCTTTTATGGATTTACACTTTAGGATATACATAGGTACGCAAACCAAAAAAAAAGAAAGAAAAGGAAAAAATAAGTTTATTATCCTTGAACTTTCACATTATATACATAGATTCTTCGTTATTTATTTCAGATATAAAAGACGAGAATTGTCACATAAATGAGGATATTATCACACAAACGCGTTCAAATCGTATCTATGTACGTATGCATGTACGTTAAAATTTTAAAAACTTGTGGTTAAAATTCATTTTATGTACTTTATTTGGTAAATGAAATTTCGTAGGAAAGTTGAAATCCTTTTCATCAAAAATAAAAATATTTTCTAGTATAAATCTTACCTGAGTCCCTTAATAGCCTGCCCTGACTTTTTTTTTTATTTGCGGCGCAAGGGAAACAATTTACGTAAGATAACTCTTAAGTATTATAATAAAATCAATGTTTGTACATTTATGCTATAAACGCAACATTTTATATTTATAGAAGTACTAACAAAATATTGGATTTAGTTGAAAACTCTTTATATTACACGTGAAATCATCAATTTAAATTTAAAAAGAAAACATGTCAGAAGCCATTAGAAGCAAAAAAAAAAGAGAAAGAAAATATAAGAAAATCTGCTTTTACTTTAATTTAACAAAGCTTTACGATCATGCTTGAAAAGAGTAATAAAAAAATTTATTGCCTGATTTAAACACTGTAACATGAATTCGAAATAAATAATTTATTTATTCACATAGAAATATGCCTTGATAAATGTTTTTATTGGGGGTGAAAAAATATAAAAGAAGTAAAATACAAACATAATAATCTAAATATAATAAAAGTAAAAAAAAAATAAGATGAAAGGATAAAAATTTTTAAAATAACACAGAAAAAAAACCTGCAGACAATTTTTGAATATTTCAAGAAATAAATCGGATTTAATAGCTCACCAGCAAAAACAAACGAAGAAAAAAAAATTATTGTCATGAGATCAAAATTAGATAAAGTTTTTTTATTTTATCAAAAAATATAATAAGACACAAACGAACACATACAAATGCGTGAAAAATAATAAAAAGCAATAATTCACTTAATAGTCTTACTTTTCCTTATTTCAAATTAATGTTGACAATTATTACGTTTTGAAGAAACCATTTGCAAGCATAGAAAATTCTTATTTTCAATTATTTATAATTTTGACTTTGTTCCTAATAGGTTGCAAAAGTATTGTTTATTCGTATTTTAATAACATTTCCTAAAATATTGTGTAAAATACTGTACTGTATAACATAAACTTTGAAAGAAGATTTGAATATCAAAAACAAAATTAGCAAAACATTTTTAATCCTATACAGAAATATGAAACACTAGCAATACATCCCTAGAACCTTGATATTCCAAAAAGAAAATATTCAATATAAAAAAAAGCAAGTGGCAATGATGTCTTCCTCGAAAACTACTTAAGGAAGGCAATAAGTTAAGCTAGACGAAGTGTTTAAGGGTCAGTCGCATGAGGCCTCATTTGCCGGAATCGTTCCGAGGAGGACTTTAGAAAAAAAAAACCTTAATGAACTCGGTAAATTTATTAAAGGCTAATATTTAAAGTTTGTTTATATAAGACGTAACAAGGTCTCGAAAAGCTCAAAAACTTACGTATTGCATAATTTTCAAAGATCGATCTTGTGCTTTAGACGATCAACTTATACAAAGATTAAAAAGCCATAAGATATAATTATAATTTAATTTATTATAAAACATATGTTATAATTACAATAGTGTGGATATTAACCAATTTGATTGCACTAAAATTAAACGACCTGCTTAAAACAATAACTCATTTTTAGCACTTTTCCAAAAAATTTTTGAAAAAAAGTGCTTATTAGTTTCACTCTGTCCGTCCGTCCGTCCGTCCGTCCGTCCGTCCGTCCGTCCGTGTGTCTGTTTACAAAACTTCTACATTCTTAAAGATAGAAAGCTGAAATTTAATACGGACATAGATCTTTACTAGAAACTTATTTTTGTAGAACAAAATTTTTACCTATCTCCCCCCCTCTAGAAGTTATACCCCCCCAAAGCACTAAAAATGGCCTATTTTAACTATTTGTTGCAATGAAACCATAAGCATTTTTGAAATTTTGTAAACGCAGAAAGACAGTGGCTTGATTCCCCTACCGCGGTATACTATAGCTAAACTTTACAAAAACAAAATGGCCGTTCAAATTTACCGTTATCTGCAGTCATTTTTTTCCAAATTTTTGATGTCGTTTTTCTTCTAGACCCCAGCCTGTAGAAGCTTGAAATTTTAGGTGCTTTTAGACATTAACAAGAAGTTCATTTCCTTAGAAGAAAATTTTTTTCCATCTCCACCCCCTCTCAAGTTATGGCCTCTTGAAATTTGTAAAATTTGCATTTTTGACACCTTATATTTCTGAAACCGCAAGCTTTTTCAAATTTCTATAAACGCAAAAAGTTAACGGTAAATTCCATGAAATTAAAAAATATAATTATTTTTCTTAACTCACACAATTAAACCTTAAAATCGAGCATTATGTTAACCCCTTTTTATATTAATTTTTGCTTTATTTCAAAGACTGCATAAATGGTTCATCCTAAATATATGCAATCCTAGAAATAGTTTTGTTTATAAATGAAAATAATTTTAATAGTGTGGTGGATATACATAAACTGTTTTTAAAAGCAGTATTTTCACTTGTTGAAGGGAAAAGTGCTACAATACAAACCATTGGTTTGACCCAACTTTATTCAATTTCTTAATGGTCTCGCAGAAATAAATAAAATATATAAAAAATTTATTCATTTTGTTTTTGAAGGTAATACGTTCAGTCGATAATTTGAGAAAAAATGCAAAATTTGTTGGAAAAACGAAATGTCAATTAGTAAGTAGAGAATTCCGGTTTGAAAGTGAGATGAAAAGGCGAGATATACGATTAATATACGAGATATACGATTAATATAGTGTATATAATTAATTTCTTTTATCCTAAATTTAAAAAAATTTTTTAATTACAAAATTAATAATTATTAGCACTTACCTTCTTCTTTCTATTCTCCAATAAAAATTTAATCGTAATTTCCAGTTTTATTTCTTACTTTGTTCAAAAATATTTTACTTAACATCAAGTTCAATTTTAATTTTTTTTTTAATAATTTTCTACAACAAAATTCTTCTAATATAATAATAATATTAATTATTATTGTTATGAAAAATTAAATCGAAGAAAAATTTTATTTTCAAAATTTTTGAATTATCGAGAAATTATTTTTTTACAATATTTTTAATACATAAATTTCATGTTAGAAAAAATATTTTATTCTCATATCACCTGTAATTTTTTTATTCTCCTTTCAAAATCCTTTCTTTCTGAATTGTTTTCTTTAAAAAGTTTAAAAGAAATACTTTTGTAAATCAGAAAATGTTTGACTTATGTTCATAAATTTTGTTTAATATTTAATTTTATTTACACTCTTATTATTTAAAATAATTTTACATGAAATTCTTCTAATACCAAATTTGAAATTTGTTATTTTTTTTTTCTCTAAGTGTTTCTCTTTTAACCTACATGAAATAATTTCAATTTAATAATTATTATTAATTAATATTTTTTTTATAAATATTTTATTTATAATAATTTGTAATTATAGGTTTTTTATTTTTTGCTATTTAATTTTGGAAAAAGATTTTTATTCTTAAATTCGGAAAAAAATTAACGAGAAAAAATAAATAAACATTTTTTTATATTATATAATAGGACGGTTTGCAGTATACATTTAAAATATTTAATTATTTTATATAAGTGTATATATATATATATATATATATTTATATTTACATGTTTATATATACATTAAGATAGGTAATATATAAAATGTTTGTAATGTATGTTTGTGGATTTATTTTGTTTTTGTTTTAAATTAGAAATTTATAAGGTTCTTTTATAATTTTCTAATAATTTTCTACACATAAATATATTTACTAATTTTTATATATTATATTCATATATATATATATATACATAAATATATTTTTTTATTATAATAATATTTATGTACAAATAATTTTATGAATAAACATTATTTATTTTGTATGTATGTCCGATAGATGTCGTACACGATATTTGATTTTTTTCTTTTTGATTATTATCATTTGATTTTTTTTTTATTATTATTATTTTTTATAAAATTAAAATTTTTATTTTAAATTAATAATTATTTTTTATAATATAATATATTGTGGTTGATTTGGTTTTGATTCATTTTTCATTTAATATTTTTGATGTTATTATTTATATGGTTATATTTTTATAATAATATTTATTAATATAATTTTACCATTCGATTTCTCTTTCATTCATTTTATTTGTGTTTCTTTGTGTTTATAATATAAATTTTAATTAAATTGTAAATTAATTATTTTTTATTGGAAAAAATGTTCACAACCTAACGATACAATACATATTTGCGAGAAGAAGAATGATAGAAGTTGGGAGGAACGTCTCATATATGAGAAAATTAAAAATATAAATTAATTTATTTATTAATTTTTTATTTTAATTTTTCTTTTGATTATTCTGTACTTAAAATGACATCAAATATTTCTTCTTATTTCGTTTTTACAATTTTCATCAACAATTTCCAATAATTTTTTGTATATATAAGATCAGATTATAAGAGTGTTACGTGTATATAATAATTGCCGCATTCATAAATTTATTTTGCGTAAATTTTTTTTATTAAATATCATTTATTATCATTAACGAAATTTTGTTAGTTTTGCATTTGTTGCAAATTTAATTTATAGGTAATAATAATTTTCACTTTAAAACAGGTGGAAATATATTTAGAGCAAATTAGTGTTTTTATATTTTATACTAAAATTTATATTTTCTTAAATATTTTTGATATACAAATTGTTCTTTTTTTTTTATAATAATTAATATAATATATTATAATAATAAAATGAACTTAATAATCAATTATAATATTTATATATTTTTTTAATTAATAATAAGTATGTATATATGTATGTATAATAATATTTAAGTGATTTATTTATATAATATTAAAATATTGAAAAAAAAATTTTCCGACATCAAATTACTATATTTATTTATATATAATAATATATTCAAATATTTTAATAAATAATAAATAATTAAAAGAAATGTTATACAGGTTTGTTCTTTTTATATAATAAATTTATATAATTAAAAATTATTTTATATTTTTTTTTTTAACTTTTGAATTTATTATATGATTTGTAATATTTTGTAATTAATTTTTCTACAAAAAAAATTTTTTTTTTTTTTGATTACTAATTATTATAATAAGAATGCAATAATAATGCAATAATAAGAATATCTACATACTTAAGCATTAATATTTAAACTATAATATTATTTGTTTTTGTTTTTTATTCAAAAGAATTAACTATTCTATTATATGAATTTTAATTATTTAAAATTTTGCCGGGGTAGTGAAAGATGAGAAGAAGGTGTATGTAGTAGGTAATTATTATTTTGATTAAAATAATAAAAAAAAAATTAAATTGATATTATATAATTAATATTTTTATTATTTTTTGTTTAAAAAAATTAATTATTTTAATTGTTTAATTTAATTTTTTATTTGAATATATATATATATATATTTATTTTTTATTAATACATTTTTTATGTATTTTTTTTGTAATATTATTAAAGTCTACACAACCAATGAGTTTATGGATTTTTACTTTTTTGATTACATGTTTTTTTTTTTTGCGATATTTTGTTGTTTTTTACATAAAACTCTAAAAGAATAATTTTAATATATATATATATATGTATATATATTATATATTTACCAATTTATTTATGTATATAAATAAAATATGATTTTGTTCTATTATTTATTTATATTTATAATAGTTTGGTTTTTATAATAAGTTTTAAGTAGTGTTTTTCTTTTTTGTTATTTCCAATTATTTAATTAATAATGATTGAACGGAAATTTTACACTCCTCCTTAAATAATACAAATATTTGTTGAGGATGAGTACACGCAATTATATTAAAAATTTTAATATAATTTTTGTTTTTCTCATTTAATTCATATATACGAGTATGTACAGTTGTTTGTTTTTCTGTTATACTTTATTTGGTTTTATTATTAAAAATCATATTTAATTTTTTGTGTATTTTTTTTTCTTATTTTTTAATATTTTAAATGAAATGCATAATTACAATACAATTATATATTTTAAATAATTATTATTTATATATTTATTTATTTATTTTAGGATTCTATTTTAATTCACAACACATAGGTTCAGTTTTTCTTTTTCTATTTTTTTTTAATTAATTCATTTCGCAAATATTAAATAAGTGTTTTGTTTTTTACATAGCGTTTTTTTTTTTTTGTTTATTAAATATTACAGAGTATTTTTCATTTAAATATTTAATAATTATAATTATATAATTATTATATAATATATAAGTATAAAAAGAGAGAATAAAGAAAACGAATTATTTTTTCAAAGAATTATTAATGCTATTTGAGCACATGATTTGATTGAATAATTGCATAAAATTCGTAATTTATATTAAATTTTTGTAATAAAAAGCGTTCTATTAAAATGATTATGTTATCCATTTACGTAGATTTTGTTTGCTGTTTTGGTTTTTTGCTCCTTTTGTTTTGTGTGTTTTTATTGTTAAATTTTTTAATTGATTGATCAATACAAGAAAAAATAAATATATTTTTTTTTTTGATTTTCATTTGATTAGTTTTCCATAATTGTTTTGCATTGTTTTTAAGATGGAAAAGAATTTTTTTTTTTTAAATAAATTTAATTTTTGATTGGTTTTCTCTTGTTTAGTATAAAAGTAAGTATTTTTTTTGGAGATTCACTTCATGAAATTCGATAAAAATCCAATGATGAATCCAATCTGAAACAAAATATAAAAAAAGAGAAAAAATTAAAGTATTGTATTAGTTTAATTTGTGTTTAATGGAAATATAATAATATTGTAATAGAATAAATATTGCAGCTTTATACCAAAATAAAGACATACACTAATTAAGCACTAAACTGCGATATGGTAATAAATTTTACTATCTCTTTAAAGTTTTCAATCAAAAATCACAATACCAAAAAATCTGGGGTGATCAGCACATAACCGACCGGAATGTGAATTGTCTACTTTGTAAGCTTTTGGTTAACATACCCAGAAAATGAGAATTTGGCTCTTAGTAGGGTTTCACTTTATGACATCTGAATTCCTATACAAAAATTCACCAATTATTTCTGGTAGCAAACAGAATTTAAATATTAAATTTTAACTTGTTAGCTTTGCGGACGCACATATTTCAAAAATTTTCTAATTTCATTTTTGTATTATCAGACTAAACTTATTTATAAAAATTTAGAAAAATACGCTCATTATTTTCTTAGATATAGTCAAGAATGAAAAATTGCATTCCAGATAGCTGAAATATTCAAAGACAAAAGTTAATCAAATCCGCTCTTTTTCGATAAAATCTCGGATATAAAATTTTGTAAAACAAACTGACAAACAGAAAGACAGACCAACAGACTGACATTTATCTAAAAATACTACACTATTGCTACTCTAACGTGAAGAAACACATTTCCTCAACATGTGAAATTTGGTGCTGTCTTTATTGAATGTAGTACAGTCGTTAACTATGTCATTCCTTGTTATAAAATATAGTCGTTTTTCTTAAAAAATACGTTAAAGGATGCATAATGCAACTTTCTCTTAATTATAGATAGTTTTCGAAACTTCAGTACAATATTGTACAGCTACTCAATATTATTTGTTTTGTTTGCCTCGAGAAATGAAAATTTTATCATCAAAAATTTTCATGTTCCTAATATACTTATTGCAGACCTTTTAAAAAAATTTTTGTATTGCAGAGATGTTTTTGATAAGAGGGTATAAATAAGATTTGCATTTAAAATATAAGAGTCAATATTTTGATCTTCTTTAACCCTTTGCACTATGAAGTCACCTCTGGCGTGACAAAAATATTTTTCTCTAAAACTCTGAAATCACCTCTGCCGTGACAAAAATATTTTTCTCCAAAACTCTGAAGTCGCCTCTGGCGTGACAAAACAGTTATTCATGCATGCGCAATTCAATTATTGTTAGTATTGAGTGTATTCTCCAACTAATTACTTCATACCGAAGATATGATATCAAAACCAGAAAAAATTAAATCAGAGTTGGCCGAGAACAAATTAGAGAAACAATTATAGTGCAAAGAGTTAAAGTGTGGGAAACCTTTACCAATTTTTTTTTTCAGTTTAAAAAACCAAGAAAAAAAGTGTTCAATATTCTCAGGT